ATCTGGGTATAGTTATTTTCAAACAATCATAATCCACATATTTGTTGTAGTATTCCTCACAATAGTATTGATAATATAATAATATAATAACAATAATACCTCCTTTAACAACTCTCCACATTAATATTTCCTCTTTTCATGTCTCCTCCTTTCTGACTTCTGTTTCTGTTGTCTAGCCATTGATAAAATACATCCCAGATCAAAAAATATTCACTTTCTTCTTTATCCTTAATATTAAGTGTTACTCTATCCATTTCTGTGCATTCTAATATTTTCTGTAACCTTCCCTCCCCTCCCTCCCTTCCCTTCCCTTTTCCTTCCCTTCTCTTCCTTTTCTTTCCTTCCCTCCCCTCCCTTCCCCTTCCTTTCTCTCCCCTCCCCTTCCTTTCCTTTCCCTCCCTTCCTTTCCTTCCCTTCCCTTTCCTTCACTCCCTTTCTTTCCCTTCCCTTCCCTTTTCTCCCCTCCCCTCCCTTTCCCTTCTCTCCCCTCCCTTCCCTTCCTTTCCTTTTGCTGAATAACTCTTTTTTTTTCCTTCCGCCAACTTCACAAGGCAAGAGATTAAAGGGTTCTGTTAAAATAAACAATGTGTTTCTCTATCAGCTGTAAGACCTGATCAGGACGTCCAAGGCCTGTAACTGAAGAATATTTTCATAGGTCACAATCCAAACCTTTGTCTTTTGTTTTCCTTTCAGGTCTTGTCAATTAACGAGGAGGGACAAAGAAGATGTGAAGAAAACACCAACCTCTTAGGCCGCCCTATCTCGTTAGTATGCATCTCATTATGCAAATACAGATCAACATGAAGGATGTCAGTAACTTGGTAGATTTAAGGAGACCCCATCAGTGCGATAATCGCATTAAACAAATTACCTTTTTCACACTTTGGATAAAATGTAGGGAGATTGGAAGACTATTCTGAGTGGCATTGGTGAAAACTCCCAAATTTTTACATAAGGAACTTGGCCAGATCCTGTGCCTTGAGGACTAGTGAGTTGAGGAATGCCAAGTTTACAGATTGCAAAAAGCTGTCTTGTTGTCCGCATTTCTCCTTTAACATTTTCACATATACATAATACATTTTACATTATATTTCCATTTCCATTTTCAAATTAGCCATAATTACTTTGCTTCTCATATTTTCCAATTTTTAATTTTTATTATATACATAAACAATGTTATTTTTTCTTCCCATTAAAATAAAAACCAAATTCATCATTCCCTTTCCATCTTTCTACAAGTAACATGTGTCTTCAAATTCAGTTTTATATATAGTAAACATTTAAAGTAATTACTTTGCACCCTTAAAGCTATTAATATAACTCACACACATCTTAATTAGATGCATACTATTACCATGTTTAAAATATTTCATTTCATTCTACTAATTTCATTTCATTCTACTAATCTCCAATTCCTAGTTTTTCTTTTCTCTTTTTCTTCTTTTTATATGTCTTGTATCTTCTGAATTTTTCCTATCACTTTTCAATAGGTTATTTGAATGGCTATCCCCCAATTTTTCTTTTTCCACCTCCCATTATTTCTCTCTTCATTTTTGGCTAATTTCTTTTTTGGATACCGTTTTCCTTTCCTCTGAACACTTTTTGTACCTCTATAAATCTCAACAGCACTATCCCATTAAGTTTTGTTTTTCATTTTTTTTCTACTTTACTAGCTTCTTCCTCATTTGTATACTTTGTCTGCGCCTCTCCTATCTCCTGTTTTAACAATTTTTTGGCCCCTTTTCTGGCTCTTTATTCCCTTTTAATGTTGCTCGTGCATTGCAAAAAACTGTCTTGTTGTTTCTTCCATTTCAGATCCTGGACATGTTTAGTTGACCTTGAAGGGCTAAACATGCGTCACCTCTGGCGCCCTGGTGTGAAAACCCTCCTCAGAATTATTGAAGTGGTTGAAGACAACTATCCGGAGACTTTAGGGAGGTTGTTGATTGTGCGAGCACCAAGGGTGTTTCCTGTTCTCTGGACTTTGGTGAGCAAATGTAAAAGGGGGAAACACAATTTCCTCCCCCTTGAGGTGGTCTTTAAGGAAGGTTTTAAGAAAAACAGCACATTTAGGAAAAATGTTTTTAACAGATAGGGACATGGTACTGCCTGGGTGTCAAACTCAAGGCCTGGGGACCGGATCTGGCCCATGGGGTGCTTAGATCTGACCTGTGGGGCCACCAGGGAAATGGCGAGGATCGCAGTGCCCCTGCCAGTGAAAACGGAGTTCACGAGGACTGCGGGCAGCCCTCCCAAGCTCCATTTTCGCTTGCAGAGGGTTGTAGGAGGCTGTTGCCGGTGAAAACAAAGCTCGGGAGCCCGGTTTCACTGGCAGAGCGCTCGAGCCACCACAGGCGCCCCCTGACACGAGAAATATTGAGCTGGCCACGCCCACCCTGGCCATGCCTCCCCGTCACGGCCAAGGTGAAACANACAAGGGGACTCCCTCTGGTAAGGGGGAAAATCCAACATTAGAAATTACGCTTGGTCCGGACATTTTCCCCTTATAAATAAATATCTGGACAACACCGGATTATTGGCTAATATGTACTGAAGAATCTTCAATTGTATTGCAAGGCCAGCAGAAGAATTTGAAGGAGTCGTGTTTTTAAAACATTCTATGAAAGCCTCTCGGATTGAGGAAGAATCGTTTTTGGAAATGACAAACTTCAAACGTCTTTCTCAGGAGCAAACCTTTTCGTTTTGGAACAAGAGGACAGGTAGTCCTTGTTTAGTGACCACAGTTGGGATCGCCAGTTCTGTCACTAAACAGAAGTGATGGCTAAGAAGGAAAATAGGTGATTTAGCAAGTGACTTTTCCTTTTTCCTATCTCCCCTTCCCCCTTTGGATTGCTCACTTACACAGCGCTGGGATAATTAACAAGAAAGGAATTAATGTTCCTACTTACATTCATTGGAGAGGAAGGGTAATAAGAGAGTAAGCAGGCACACAATGGAGAATGCATATCAAAAGCAATGCTTTAGTGCCGACAGTCTGAAAATGCTACACAAGCAGCCAGTGTGTGCTCCCCATTTGATATTTCCCACCAGGAAACAAGTTAAGCAGAAGAGGGATTTCCTACAGAAATTGTTTTCATTTCCCCCCTCCCTGCCTCTTGCAAAGTGAAGAGATTGGAGAGAAAGGGATTTCAAAAGAGTAAGCAGCCACATATCAGGCTGTGCTCATGGCTGCCTTTCCATTGTATGCCTGCTTACTCTCTTGTAATCCCTTCTGGAATCTCTAGCATCTGCAGGGATGGAAGAAGGAAAAACAACAGATCAGGCGCAGAGCAAGCATACTTGACTGCAGTGGGGAATCATGGGATGAGAGATTAACAGATTAACAGTTGGAAGGGACCTTATAGGTCATCTACTCCACCACCACCACCCCCGCTCAAGCAAGAGACCTTACACCATTTCTGACAAATGGCAGTCCAATCTCTTCTTGAAAGTCTCAATGATGAAGCTCTCATAACTTCCGAAGGCAACTTTTGTTCCATCGGTTGATTGTTCTCATTGTCAGAAAGTTCCTTCTTATTTCCAGATTGAATCTCTCCTTGGTCAGTTTCCATCCATTATTCCTTGCCTGGCCTTCAGGTGCTTTGGACAATAGCTTGACCCCCCTCTCTGTGGCAGCCCCTCAAATACTGGAAG